CCCACACCCACACACCACACCCATGCCCACACCCACACACCACACCCGCACCCACACACACCCACACCCACACCCACATATCATGGTTCCTCAGTACGAAAAAATCACGATTTTTTTATGAGACCGCTAATGACTTTTTATGAGCTTCGTTCTTCTGAATTTTTCAAATTCCGTTTTTCCAAATGAAATATTAATTTTTATATGGGATCTCTGTTTCTATGTAATAGACTTGGTTTGGATGAAATTACTAATAAGATTGCTTACCTGCTAACTCGACTTGTTGTTTTAGCCCAATAGCTTTTTGACGCCATTCCATACACTTGTCGAAGTTACCGGCTTGTGATGCGAATTTACCAAGATCCTGATATAAGTCATAAAGTAAAGGGTCATCGAGTGGCAGTTGTTCCAACAAGCGTATAAAATATTTTTCGGCCAAATCAAATTTACTCATCTCGGATAGTAGTGTTCCTAATGTTCGAAGATCCATTTTTCCACTTCCAAATTGTTGCTTCATATCCATGAGAACATGTTTTAATTCATGTTCATTATCACTACATAAAACCATTCGGATAACCCATACTTGACTGTCGCCACTGCGATGGATGCTTTTCAAACGAAAAATAGAACCAAGCATAAAAAGTATTTCTGATTCCCTGGGAAATTCACTAAATGGACTGATATCAGCGAATGGTTTTGTAGTGGCCATTGTAGGATCAGCGTCGATTTCAAACAATACCGGTTCTAAGTTTTCTGTAGTACTAGAATTGTTGAGGAAGAAAAGAGCTTGCTGTTTGTCCATACTGGTGGAAAAAAATGAATTCACTGAAATAAACTGATCAAGGCATTGTTTCAAAGTTTTCAATTCATCACTTGACATCATCTGGCCTCGATAAAGTTGTAGAGAATCTTTAACTTGATTATTTTTCAATTGATAACACATATGCGAAATAATTTCACGAAATAAAAAAATTAATTGAATATCTTGCTTACGTAGAGCAGCATTGAGAGTTTTATAGAAGAATGACTGTCTTGTATACCACCACAAGACTTGATCAGATGAATAAGTATTTTCAAATTCATCAATATAGCTTAATTCAGCGTCGTTCTCCTTATATTCCTGTTTACAAAGATGAATAAGCTCTTCTTTATCCTTTTTATTGGATTCTAGCCGCTGAAGACAATCAATCAAAACTTGAGAGAAAACAAACTGACCATTTACACCCATTGTTGATGTACCTGCATTAGTACTTGTAGTAAAAATATTAATTGACAATGGCTCTTCTACGATTTTGTGCATTCTGTGATCAGTTTCAATTCGAGAGATGAGCTCATTAAGTTCAACGATAACTGCTTTAACCTATCAATAAAAAAATGTCATAAAACGAAATCAAAATCTTTCATCTTTGTTTTACTTTTGCAAAGTTGCGAGCCCATTGTTCATGACGGCTTTTATCCATGCAGTACACATAAATTGATATAACTTGTCGAAGTTCATGAATGGAAGGAACTATATCTTGTCCTAACCGACCACTAACGATCATTATGAGTCGACCTTTTTGTGATTGTTTTTCAATATATTTTTGACATTCTTTTACATCTTGAAATTTCGTAAGACAATTAATTATAGCATGCAATCTTTGTTCTGCATTTCGATTCTCTTCAATGGTTGTATTGGCATCTAGCCAGATAAGAGAAAAAATTTTGAGATGCTGACTGTTGGTGTTCGTCTGAAGGTCATCAATTGGTGGAACAGGAGTTGCCATGTAAATCAAGGAAACTAAATACAATAGAAGTTTTAACTGTTTTTCATTTGATAGAGTAACTTAATTAGCTTTTTAGCTAAAGTCATCGAATCAATGTCTAACACACTAGGATGAATCGATATTATTTGTATCTTTTTCGCTTAGTAATATAACAAAATTGTAAACCAGAGAATACCATCTCTCAATAAGTTCAATACTGTCAGTGGGTAAAATGTAGAATTTTAATTTCAATCGGTATGAATCATAATTCTTGCTTTCCTCTTTCGAAAAATAACTGCAGCAAAACTAATTGAATCTATTGAATCTATGCGCTTTTGTTTTTAGAGCAGGATCGTACATTGAAATAATGGTATTTCTTATCTGATTGAAAATGTTCTATTAAATAATCCTGAAAGAAATAATAAGTACAACGTTGCTACGAAAAATTGTGATCTTTGTTTAACTTATCAGATGTACGACATAGACCTATGCATTGTAGTATTCATTCTGTAGCCATCATTAGAAATTCTCGTACGAGATTGTAACTAAGAGTATTGAAGCTGTGTGTTCCTTTAAAACTTTTCTAATATTGAGAACATTTCCCAAAATGTTGGCTTTTAGTCGTACATATAATGTTGCTCATATTTTTGTCGAAAATATGAAAGTAACAGCAAATATTTCACCTGATGTTCAATTTTCTAATAATGATAATACACTCGGAAAAGTCACATTATTTGAAAGAAAAAAGAAACGAATCCATTATTCTTATTTATTAAAGGTTCTAGGTAAACCTTTTTTTAATTTAAATAACTGAGATTCATTTCGATTAGAAAGGAAAAACATTTTTTTTAATATAGATAACTCTGGACGTTTCCTTTTTTCGTCCTACTTCAACTGGACTTTAGATTAAAGACGTTGGCTTTTTAATTCTACAGAATAAAAACGAACAGAATGAGTTCTTTATTTCCTGTAGGCTTTATTGAATAAGTATATTATTTTCCTAAATTGTCACCACTGTCTCTTGAGAAAACTTTGTATTCAGATGAGAAACAAATCCTTGTAGATGACATTCTTTCTGATAATCTAAAAAACAAATATCACAGTAACTCTATGTCAGTTTATCATTAAGAGTTCTCCGATGTTTTGTTACTTCTAAGCTTCAATTTTCCTAACGAACTATTATTATTAAACGAAATTATAAATGATTTTATTGTTTCTGTGAATGAAAAGTAGGATAACCGCTCACAAGAACAAGCTCTTCAATAAAATATCTCTTATAGGCGTAAGAATTCCGTTAAAATACTATTTATAGGAATTTTTAGAGCATTTAAACATGTCAAGAATGGGTGGAATTTTTCCAATCTCTGATTTTTTTCTCCTAAGTCAAGTGTTTTTATAAGTTTGTATGGTTGCCTGTACCGACTTTGTCGTGTCCATGCTTGCGCACTTCTTTGAATGCGAGAATTTCAGTAAACAAACGTAACTTTTTGTAATGATCTTTAAACTTCGTTTTACTAGATGAAGCTTCAACTAGTTATTTCTTGTTTTTAAGATAGGGTAGGGTGTGGATGGGTGTGCGGTGTAGATGTGTGTGAAACTAACCCAAAGATATGCGAAAGTCCGCACTCAGACACCAGATTCACACCCCATATTACCATGTTGGCATGAATGTGGAGCATGGGTTAGGGATATCAGAGTTCTTATTCTGTAGGGCTCCACTCTTAGGGGACGAGAGCCCATTTCATGAAGCGTTTCTATGCATTGTTAAATATAATATGACGTTCATACACACTTTGATTGACTTTTCATAGAAAGCTACTATGCATTGCAGTTTCCTGTGTTTGGATTCAGACCCCGAAAATGACAGTTATAGTATGGCAAGGGGGAAAAAGCGGATCCTCGGATCCTTGGATCCTCTGGATCCTTTTGGATCCTTTTGGATCCTCTTGGATCCTCCGGATCCTTTTGGATCCCAGTTTGGATCCTTTTGGATCCTTTGAGATCCTAGGATCCAAAAGGATCTCAAAGAATCCAAGAGGATCCAAAAGGATCCAAAAGGATCCAGAGGATCCAAAGGATCCGAGGATCCGCTTTTTCCCCCTTGTAGTATGGATGTTGGTGAACGCGGTGTTCGTCTTGTATATTACTGCCACCAACATCAACACCCATAATGTGTGTATCGTTTCAACCACTATCATCCCTCATTCTTTTTCGTCAAACTAATCCACGGAAAATAAATCCTGTAAACCCATCACAATCGTTGCTAACATTCCCAGCGTCTTAGTACTAAGTATATAGTACTCAAAATAATTTCTTTTATTTCTTGAGTACCCAGAAAAATTCACTCACCACAGTCAAGTAATTTAAGCTGAATCGCTGTAAGTACAGTTTAGCAATATGTTGCTGCTGCTAGTAGAATTTTTGGCGTCTTATTCCGTTAGGGTACTTTTTTCGAATGATTTGTATCCTATTTTTGCAGCGCATCCAGCCTTTATCTTTCGTTGTTGTCTGTGGTTACTATTTTTTTGTTGCTTTTTTCCAAATTCTTATCAAATTAGCATTCTATGAGGGTGAGTGTAGGTATGTGGTGCTAGTGCGAGTTTGGGGGTGGATTGGAGTCGAAGTGGATGGCGTGTGGGTGTGGGTGTAGGTGTGTCGGTGTGGATAGGCTGTAACGTGGGGTGTGGGTGTGTATTCGTCTCACTTTGACACTCACCTACGGCCACACCGCACACCGAGCTCTTGAACACACTCACTAAGGACAAACATGACTGTCTCAGTAGTATTGATGGTGTGACTGTGACTAAGGTGTGGGTGGGTGGGTGTGGATGTGGATGATAGAAAAGCCATACCCACACTCTTTCAAGTGAATTCCATAGAATCCTAGGGAACTCTGAGGAAACTTGAAATCCTAAAGAACCACAGAGAATTCTTTGGATTCTGAGGAGTTCAAGATTTCAGGATTTCGTGATTTTCCCCTTGAATAGACTAAAATAGGAGATGTTACTAATAGAAATTCAATGATCTATATGAATTTTACATGTTATGTTTTCCTAAAACTGAAGTACTACATTTTCTCTCGAAATAATTAGTGATTTGAACCTATTTCATTCTCTGCGAATAACTAGAGGAACTATTTCGAGCATGCAATGAAATAAGGTCTTGAATTAACTTGTCTCTGATGTATTCTTCGAAATCTCATTACTTGTGGTATGATGTGTAGTTCTGGTTAAGATGTTTGAAATACTCTCTTCAATCTTAGAAACCCTTTTAATAAGTTGCTCATTAAAGTCAAATAATGAAAATCAACCATACCGAGTCAATTTCGCTGATGGTTTCTTCCGACTTGGTCGAGTGTTGTATAAGTGAGACGAGTCCGTTATCTATCAAATAACTCTTTTCTTATCTTGCATCATGGTAACATTTCGGTCTCTTTTTGCCTTTTGTCTGTTTTCGTTTTTCTTTTTGAATACTTTTCATCTACACACTCTATTTGGAAGGACTACACGTGCTGACAGTAAAATATTCAAGATAAAGAGCACAAGACCATTAGTCGTCAACAAAAAAAGAGGGTGTGGATGGGTGTGTGGGTGGGTGGGTGTGGATGTGAGTGTGGGTGGGTGTGTGACTACCATCTTTGTTTATATTCACATCAACATCACACTCACATCCACCCACACGCCCATACCCACACTCCTAATTTGACTCCCAATCAATAGTTATTTCTTTACGAATGTGATATTATGTATGAGTGATACAGCTACGTTTTTATCGTGTGCCAGAAAAAAAAATATAGGAAAAATATTTATGTGATTGTTGGAATTAAAGAAGCATGCTTTTATATTATTTCTTCGCTGCTTATTCTCTAAAATAAAAAAACAACATTAGTAAAAAGATTACAAGAGGGCTTATCACCCTTCACATGATTTAGAAGGTAAACAAAAGAAAAAAAGAATACATACTTACATATTATTTTATTATTGTTTTGTTCTGCTGTTGCATTGTTTCAGATTGTGTCCCAGAAGCCAATCTAAAACAGAAAAGAATGATTATTTGATTCAATGAATTGAATGATTTTAGATAGAAAAACATTACTTTCTCTTCTGAGAGTGATTAAAAGACGGTATTAATTAAGTTATGATCGAACACACACATACATTGAAATAAATTTTATCAGAAATATCTCAACGTATGTGTATGGATAAAATTTAATTGATACTTATTAATTATGCCGTGTTATTATTGATTATCAACAATAACATGCACGATGACTTGCAGGCGAGAGATGAGGAAAAAAAGGAAAACTTCTATCTTAGTCTTCCTCTCATATGTTCTGCTGTAATAATAGAATAGCAATAGAAAAGAAAAGTTATCGCTTACATAATCAACCGTAGGCGCAAAATAGACAAGCATACTGATACGTAGATTTGTATTATTCATTTGTTGTTTTTCTTTCACATTTTTATACTTATTTAAAAACAAAATTTTGATCATAGTGTTTACTCTAATGTCTATATTTATCTTGTTCATCAAATGGACAAAAAAATAGGTTATCTTTAAAAAAAAAATTAATTTTTTTATTCATATCTTCATTACATCATATTCATTTAAAAAAAACTTTTTCAAGTCCTTTCCTATCAATATGATACAAAATAGTATTACTTCACTTAGAAGAGGTATAATAAAACAAAAATCACATTAGTTCTCTAACTAGGAAGTCGATCATATGATGTCTTCGGAGAATATCCCCGGAAACTCAATTATGTCCTAGGGTAAGAGGTATAGAGATAGATAGGTATAGAAGATATAGGAGATATAGGAGATATAGGAGATATAGGGTGTTCCATAAGTCGCCCGACACTCTTGTATTGCGAATAACTTTTGATAGGAACAAGATATAAACCTGCGGTTTCCACCATTCGAAACAGCGGTGTTTGGGCCATCGATCTATATAATATTTGCAACGACGAGAGATACTTTTTCATAGGAGCTTTTCAATTGACTATCTTTTTTTTGTGCAGTTTCATAAATTTTCACATTACTAACAATTTTACCTAGTACAAACTTCTTTAATTCCACAATACCAGCAACTAATATAGCTTGCAATAACTTTCAAAAGCATCCATTCAAAAGTATCCTTATTTTGCCGTCATTCACCTAATTCCTCAGAATTTATTTTCAATTGATTCGAATGACTTTTGCCAATCGATACTGGATCTTCATGTTTATAATAATAATGAATAATTCACATTACACAGAGCAACGAAATTTGGAAAAGATAATCCTTTACTAAGAACATTCGATTTTCCTTTCAATAGACAAAATCAACAACATGATGATATGCTAATAAATAATAATATCAATTACGATTCTATTCTTAATCATGCATTAATATCTTACACATTAAATAATACAAATCTTTCAATCTTTTCACATAATGCGAATAAATGGTCATTGAGTGAACAACATAAAAATGATACCATTGACTTAACTACCAGAAATTATTTTACACGTTCAACTATTTCAACAACATCCGCAACCGAGACTAATGGCGTACAAAGAACATACATGTCACACTTGAAACTTCAATTCATTTATTGAAAATTTGCTTCAACTATTCAACTACTTGCGCAGAAAGGAGTTGGGGCGGGAGATGACATACATATCTTTAGACACACACATCACACTAGCAGGTGTGCGTGCGGCGAAAGGAGTAAGGAGGCGGGGGAGGGGGGCGGGAGGGGCTGCCTACATACCTACACACACACATCATCACAGCTGGTGCGGGTGCCACGAAAGGAGTTCCATCACTGATGACTCACACACATCTATACACACACGCACATCCATACACACACACATCCATACACACACAGATCATCGCAGCTGGTGCGGGTGCCGCGAAAGGAGTTCCATCACTGACGACTCACACATCTATACACACACATCATCGCAGCTGGTGCGGGTGTGGCGAAAGGAGTTCCATCACTGTCGCCTCACACACATCTATACAGACGCACTTCTCTGTCGGAGTTGTAACTTCGATACGACATATACATATACGCACGAGAAGAAAGTCTTTTTGATGCGTATCTAACAAGGGTGTCTCCTATCAGTTTAAGTGGAATTTGCTCTGGAATATAGCAGCACTCCTACATGTATTGCGTGAAATGTCACCTGTGTATCGTTTATCAAAAGCTTTATTGCAGTTTTGGGAAATTGAAATCGATTTCCTGGAAATCGAAAAGTGCCCATTATGTCCATTATGCCCATTATGCCCATTACACCCCGCTCCCAATAAAGTCGAAAGAAAGAACTTTCCTGGAAACTAATAGAACGCATCAAATGGAGAAATGTGAGAAAGAGTTATGTGCTTGTGACATACCAATTCGTTAGTTTAAAAAAATCACAAAACTTTTAGAACGTTTCATAAGTAGATTTGTATGTCTTGAATATTTTTAAGAATAAAATATATGCTAATAAGAAAAAGGATTAGTTCAATAAAACTGATGAAAAATTCAAACACATAACCAAACAGTCTCAATAAAGGGATCATAATTAGTTGATCCATTTTGATGGCTCATTGGCGAACAGGTGTACGAGGTAAAAGCACAAATCGTTCACTTGTTTGCGAACATAAGTGCAAAACGTATATTTTATTCTTGAAGTATATTCAACATTTAATTAATATGGTAGCTTTACCTAATTATTTTTATGTATTTTTTCCGAATAAATTATGTTGAATATATGCGCTATTAGTTCTATTGCTTTTCAATTTTTTTCTTGATATACTTGAATAATTTTCATTTCGGAAGAAATGAATATTTTTTAGTAAAAA